TCTAAGCTCTGGGCCTTGGGATTCTTAAGAAGAAGATTTTTCTAAGATTTCCCCATATAACTCTATGTAAAATCAAGTGGCCCCTGTGTCAAGGTCGATTTGACCCCGGGGCTCATGATTTGAACAATCTTGGTAGAGATCCACTAGTTCATAGGGTGAAAAGTAGGTTGGGATTCTGAAAAATATGAGTAAACCCCCATCCCCCCTCCTAGAATAGACACTGAGGATGCAAGTTCGAGACGTAGATCTAGCTCCAATTACATTTTTTTCTTTCTTTTGTAAACCCCACAGAAAAACACCCCTTCTTTTTATCCACCCAAAATGAAATAATCCCTTTTAAGATTTTAGAATATTGGTGAAACCCAAAAAGTGCTGGACTAACATAAAAAAATGAGGATTCTCTCTGTGCGGACAGATTCTAAAACTGTATCGATACCTGAAAAAAATTATGTACATTTATGCATGATTATGAAAAATATAGTGTCAAATAAACTTAAATCTGAAGGAAGAGTACTTACTTAAAAAAATGAATTGGAACTCCTGTAACTCTCGCCATCTTTACTCTGAACGGAAAAGGCCCTAATCGCATGCTCAAGCATCGAGTCAGACTTGACATCGTGACGTCACAACTGTGCAGATGAAATATTGAATTCGTGAATTCATGAATTCACGAATTCATAATTTCACGATTTCACTTTAAAAAAATGAAATCGTGAATTCATGAATTCACGATTTCATTATTTCATTTATTCAGGTTTTTTAAGAGAAATCGTGAAATTATGAAATCGCGAATTCATGAATTCGCTATTGCATTATTTCACGATTTCACTTTAAAAATGAAATCGTGAATTCATGATTTCACGATTTCATTTATTCAGGTTTTTAAAAGAAATCGTGAAATTGTGAAATTATGAATTCATGAATTCACTATTTAAAAATTCAACATTTCACTCTAAAGGTAATGAAATTTAAAATCTTGAAATCATGAATTCGTGAACGTGAAATGTCACCACCGGTCTTTCGTAGCAAAGCGTCATACATAATTGTATTTCAATTACATGACAATAACGACTCAAGTATGAAGATTGCTTATAACTGAATGCTTAGATGTTAATTAAATAAATTAATATGCTCAAAGAAAGTGAGTGTGTATTAAGCGTGTTGTACATTCTTACGTCCGTCTGTTTGTCCGGGCAGACGAATTATACACAAGCTTCAACATAGACCTTAGCATACAAGGACGTTAAATAAAACGATAATTTTTGGTCCTTGTTTTACATCTTTAGTTTGAAAATATATATCAGTTTTGAGTTAACAAAAATTAAAGGGGAGGTTTTTTTAAAGATAAGAAAAGTATCATTTTCTATAAATCCACTGAGCTTGCCTAGACCAAAGCGCCCTTACAAATATACATAACATATAAAACATATAAATAATGCCTTCATTACTAAGTGATGAAAATCATCCTTTACATTGGGGTCGCGATTCATTATATGAAACAGAGCTGTACCTGAATTGCAACTGAAGTAAAGCTAGAAAATCTTTGTGTGACATTCATACGATCGAATTTTTAGATAATTCTAGATGATAATTATATAAACTAGCGGGTCATGAAAAAGGATTTGTTACCTTTAGCTATTTTGCGAGCTTCTGCAAATTGCATCTTCTTGGCTTGTGTCTAACTTATATGCGTCCTTGTACAAACAGGACTAGTCAGTCGCACCCAACAGCTATAAACACGACAATACAACAATACGGGGCAGAATAAATCGATCAAATATTATGAAACACACCCTAACCATGGATTTTATTTTACACGACTGTGAAATATCAACTCATGTAAATGTACAAAAACATGCATTTCGAAGCTTTTCATAATTAATTTTCCGAAGGAAAAACAACAACATAATATATTTATTTACCTTGATAAATAATTTCCACTTTGCAGCAAAACGGTTAACAATTCATTTAATAATATCAAATCGAAAACGTATCTTTCACGTATCTGTAAACTCTCACAAGATATATAAAAAGTATGAAGGTTTATAAATCATATCTGTCGGGACTTGAATGGTATTAAATCGATTTTAAGTATACATTTATAACGATAAAGGAAGTGATTTACGAAAGTTTTCGACGAAATAAAAACACAAATATACATTTTAGTTAATGAAATATAAAATGCATGTATCGTATAACCCAACAACACACTTTAACAACAATTAAATAACAAGACAATCAAGTTATGATATACAGATTTGTTTTCTTTTTTTTTTTTTCTTTTTTGTAAATTTTATTAATTTATCAAGTTATCAAGTTTCGAGCTTTTTATCAGCACACAATAAAGTATATATCACATACAGCATATGTACAAAAATTATCTTCAGAGTTTTCATATTCTACAAGTACATATTCCTTTAAAGGGACTCCACTGATGTTTAAAAAACTACAAACATAACATTTGAATTTCTAACATGAATGAACTGGGGCACTTTAAACAGAAATATATGCAAAGATAGTTAAGAAATATACTTTGAAATAAATTGAAAAATCGTATTTAATGCTTTTCTTAGCCCAATTTGTGTGAAACGTGTTTAAACGCTTTTCATTTTGGGTCATGTTTTACAAATTGAATAATTATTCTGCAGAAACGAAGCGCCAAATGATATGAAATATTGCAAAAATATTATTGGTCTAAATCTACATCAAATGGTACATTTATCTTGAAAAAATATTTGCAGTCCCATCATGACAAAAAACTTCAGTGGAGTCCCTATTTCAAGAAAACTTATATATCATATAGAATGTTTTATTTAGTCACTCCGCCACCATGAATTTTAAATGGCGATCTACTTTATTTACTGTTGCGTAGAGACGCCAGCTGTTCCAGTGTGATGTGTTCCAGACATGCCGGCGTCTGGAGTTCAGCCCTAATTAATGAGGGACAATTGACTTTAAGTAAGTGACGTTAAGGTTAAACAGAACGAATCAACATATTTTAATTCATCCCAATTGTGTAGCAACATATTTTAACTCATTCAAATTGTGTATCATTATATAAAAACTGAACAAAATTGCGTAGCATCATATTTTAGTTACGTGACAATGACGACAACAAGTGGGAAGATAACTTGTACATAAATGCTTTATTTTATAGGTTTGTTATGCTCACATACAATGTATGTGGCAGGAAAACAAATGTTCAGCGCTTGGTGCAGTCTTACGTACGTTCTTTTATTCGGCCATACGAATTTAACAACAAAGGTTAAAGGTCTTGACAGTATGATGTTCACAAACTGTAGTTTTGGGTTTTAAATGGCATTTTGGGGTTAAAGATGTGACAGTTGGACCATAATGTCGGGTTTAAATACAAAAATGAAATAATAAGATCATTATGTTGCTCTGGAACCTGTGTTCATCAGTCTGGGGAAAAGCTAGACAAAAATTGAATTTCAATTAAATTTACACAGTTTAAAGCCTCAGTCTCACTTACTCCCGGCAGAGCCCAGGACCATCCCGGTAAGTAACCGGGATGATCCGGGCCGGACGATCCGTGATGAAATTATTGTTGCGGTCACACTTACCCCGGCAGCACTACGGTAGTTCCCTACTAACCACCCAGGATGCGCTCCGGATCATCCAGGCAGAGCCCAGGTGAAGCTACGGTTCATGCCGGTGCTTCCCCGGTCGTTCCCGGATGAGGCCGGAAGAGCCCCGGTTGACCCAGGCAGAGCCCCGGTCGATCCAGGCAGAGTCCCGGCAGAGCCCAGGACGATCCAGGCAGAGCCCCGGTAGAACCCCGGTGGATTGAAAACGCCCGAAAATGATAACATTGATACATAACTTTTATTTAATATAATATCTTTTGTTCCAGAATAGTAATTCATAATGATTTTCTGAAAAATCCTTATGCCATACTGGATAGAAGGGAAATGGGAAGGCTTTTAATACAAGCAAGTTCAATCATCGCAAATTGTCGTTATTCTTTTGAAATGATCCGGGCTTTGCCGGGGCTCTACCGGGATCAACCGTAGCTCTATCTTTATCCTCCGGGGCTCTGCCTGTAGTTACCGGGGCTCTGCCGGCCTATACCGGGGCTCTACCGTAGCTCTACCGTAGCTCTACCGGCTATATCATACCCCAGATCATCCCCGGTTTGTGCCGGCAGAGCTACGGTGCTTTCCCGGTATAACCTCGGTCGTTCACGACAGAGCTAAGGATGAAGCCGGCAAAGCTATACCTTCCCGGATCATCCCGGACCACCCCGGTGATATTAAATATTTTATTCCATCCGTGGTCGAGTCCCGGATGTTCCCGGATCATCCAGGACGTTGCCGGCAGAGTTACGGATGTACCCCGGTTGTTCCCGGTAGTACCCCGGTCGTCCCCGGATCACCCCGGACGTCTACCGGGGCTCTGCCGGGATGTAAGTGAGACTGTAGCTTAAGAAACCATTGAGATAAAGTGCAGCATCTTATAACTATAATCCTACCTTGTTTTAAGTTTTTGGCCCTAATTTGATAAAACTTGCTCACAATATATGTCCTAAACTATAAATTATGTTTCATTTAAAATTCAAACATCTACGCAGAGAAGTCAGAGGAAGTGCAGAGTAAAGGGACCATAACTGAGAGTTATTTTTAACAACATTTATGATAATTGTTCAGGATAGTCGTCCGGAGAATAACTTGAAAAATACAGAATGATAGAAAATAATAGTTTTAGGCATACGGTTTATATTACATTTCTTTTTAATGCATTGTATTTGATAATGATTATCCAGAGAAAAAAATGAAGAAAAAATGAGTTTTCTTCACATGATGAGGTTATTAAAATGAAAATGCATTTAAAAAAACATGATCCTATCTAGCCTTATATTTGACTCATCTCTCTGTAATACTTATGTTTTAAAATAATATTTGTCTATAGTATAACTCCTTAATATCAATCAATGTTAATTTATCTCATTGAAAAACAACAAAAAAACACAAAAAACAAACCAGTCCTTTCTCCTTTTTAAAAACATGTGTTGTCCATTTATCATTTGTATATCCTTGTTAAATTGCGAATCTTATTTCATAAAATAAACTATAATTTTTACACTGAATGAAGCTAATCAACCAACCTTTATCAAATATTTTACTCAACACGGGGCTATAAATTCAATGTACATGTATGAAACTCTGTTGTAATGGCTCCAAAACTTTTCAAAATAATCTTCGTTCACATGATAAAAGATGATTGGGTTAATGGAATAAAGTTAGTTCAACTTTTCTATTTAATGAACTTAGCCTAACTTGTCTACAAACTGATAAAACATGATTAAATTGACAGGCTTCAACATATATCGTAGCGTACCATGAAGATTAAACAAGCATTTGTGAAACGGTTAAGTATTCGCACGTAGTTTAAACAACCAAATATATTTGCTGTGTGACGTTGTACCTATAGCTTATCACATTTTTTTTTCTATTACAAAAAACGCTCAATATATTTGCAAACCGGTGCGATCAAAGTTTTATTTTGATTAATAAAATAATGACCGGGCTGATTTATTTTTAAACCTACATGCATACATGCGTCTAAAATGTCAGTTAAGTGGAGCGGCGACCTAGTGGTTACTGTGTCTGCCTCTCGACCTAGGGGTCATGGGTTCGAACCCTGTTCGGATCTCGACCATGTTTTTTTCTTCATATGCCACCATGACTGGCTTGTTCAGTGAAGAGGACTCGAAAGTGCTTAATATAAGGTGCAATAACTTGTTGCGCAATACAGCTTCAATAAATGTGTTTAAACTAAGCCAAAGCCACGTCATATTAGTATTCGTTCTTGTACTTTATCAATTGTCTAAAATATATGCAAATGTTCCTTTGGGATTATCCCTTTCAGTTAGTGAGCATTATCTTTTGAAAATGTACTTTTTGATAACAGCAAGTCTAGGTCTTATTTTCTGGAAAGAACTTTGACATGCCTTTGTCGATTCATATGTTACAAAGTGAAAAAGAGGATAGCTTATAACAATATTTATTATAAACAAGTCATGATGACAATGTTTTTTAAGAACTACTAACATTATGCAAGGTCTGAAAGAGTATGTAGATGCTCTAAAATAAATAATGCTTGTTCGTTATTTTCTGAACGTTTTGCAATTTTTCACTATGGTTGTTGTCAGTGAGTCTTGTCCTGTATGTATAGGTAAGCATGTGTGTACTGAACATTAGTTAACGTCAAGTTTACCCGGCACAGCGCTGGTGGATAATGGTGTTCTTTCACGTAGTGGAGTATAACAAGAAGAAAACGGTAAGACACCAGGGATACAGCGAGAGAAACGTTTTCATTTATAATTTTTAAACATTTTGATACTCAATTATTTAATTAACAGTACAAAATCCCAAAAGTACAAAAAGATGAATTGAATTTAAAGAAAATAAAGTCCAATATTCTAGAAGGTTTGAAACCGTTACGCAAACAATATTTTGTTGTTGTTCTTGTTGTTGTTTGTATGTTGTTGACTATGTTAATAGTTTTATATTAAAGTTGTTATAGAAATAATCTTATTTTAATAGTGATGGGAATCGGATGAAATTTGTCCCAATCGATCATCGGATAAGTCGAAAGGGACATAATCGATACGTTTTCGAATAAAGTCGCGTTAAAAAGAAAAAGGGAAGTAACATTTCTTCCCAAGGCACTTGATTATATTCAGTAACATGAACTTCATTTAGCAACAACACAGTTTTAACCGTATATAGTCATAATGTAACGAAATAGATTTTATTTTTCAATGGATGTCAAATAATAACATTCACATCACATTATATTACTATTGTTTACATCACTTATTGATCCTGTTCAACACCAAATTGTCTCTAAATAGCTTTTTGCAATCAGCGAGGTGTTCCTCAGTATTACAGTATGCATTAATTCCCTTTGATACTTTAAACATTTTCGACGACGTCGTGGAACAATCTTTTGTGAATCGCTTATTGTCGGTTTACATAAAATGTTACTGATTATCGGCAACTTGCGACAATCGCAACAACTGCACGTGCTAACCAACACTCTTGTTTAGTTTTGTGACACCAGGTTAATTACCGATTTCTTACTCGTGAGAATTGTAAGAACTGTACATTTTCTGAAATGATGAAAGGAATTTTATTACTGAATACATTAAATATGATTTGTATCATAGTTTTGTCCGAGTTAAATCGTATACATATACATGCACCGTGCATTAACATGAGTGCAGGTATAAGTAACCCACATTTCAGAGCATGCCCATTGATTGGCTAATTTTTGCTGGGGTTTACATATTGAGACGGTAGAGAAAGGGAAAGCGACAGAAATTTAGATGCTCGTTCAATGGTTACTTTTCTCCGGGGTCTCACATTGTGACAACAGGGAACGTGTTTTTATGTTTGACTATGATACAGAAGAGAACGAACATCGCCAATCTGATTTAAACTCGGGGGGCTACGCCCCCCCCCCCTCATGCAAATCAGATAACCTCGTATTGCGATGCTCATTCTATTACTTAAACAATCAAACTTATAACTGAATAGAACATCTGTCTGCTATTTAGTAATATGTTGACGATTTTACATGTATTCTTTGAATATTGCACTTGATCATATCAAAGTTTAGCTGTGAGAAATGCAAGACTATAAAAAAATGCCAATCATAAAAACTTCTATCTATCATTTATTTTCCTCTGTTTTAATATGTGTTTGTCATACAAGTTCCTGATTGACAAATATTTTATCTTAAAGTAGTTTTTTTTTAATCTTGATAGAGCACTGTTTTTAGACAAGGGGCATTCCGAAAAATATATTTGGAGTGATGCCTCTTTTGTTGCTTATTAAGTTGAAATATTTCAAAAATATGAAATAAATCAATGTGAAACATGGCATAATTGATGATCAAGACTAGGAACAGTTGTAGACAAGGAGCATTATCCTGAAAGTTAAACAATCTAAGAGTTATGTCCCATTTTACTGAAATAACTTTGTATGTATTTTTTGGTTAAATATATAGTAGAATGATTTCAAAGTATAAAAGATATCAACCTGAATCTGGGAATACTTGTTTGGTACGGCAGGCATTGTTGAAAAACAATAGGCATCATTCCGCAAGGTATATTTTTTAGCTATGCCCCTTTTCAACTTTGATTTTATGTCGACATTGCTGATTATTCATAATGTTTAAACTATTTCAGCATTATTCAACAATAATTACTTGATTATCTTGCCAAGGTTTAGTGGGAAGGCAATGAATGCCATTATCCTAAAATTATAGCACGGGTTGGAACTTTTCCTATGTTTTTACTAACCCATTATACTCAGTACACTGAGCATTTGAAAACTGTATTGTACAGATTTTTCATAGATTCATGTAGGAGAAAAACTCGACTGCTATATAACAGTACAGTTTTTTCGCACCTTGTATATATCAGTTTAGTTTTATTCACAAAGGCTTCCATGGGGCAGGGGTAACGAACATTTCCAGTAGCCAAAAAAAGAGGAAATTTACTCTCATTTAATAAAAAGGTACATCCGCTGAATGAATTATTTCCACTGCAAAGGACCCTTTAATTAATCCGCCTCTAACATTGGATGTCTTTTCGCGGCAGCGAAAACTACTTGTATAAACTGCCTAATCATAACAAGCTTTAATGTAGCTAACGATTTTATTTATTCATTCATTCATTCCTTAATTCATACATTTATTTATTTATTTATTTATTTATTTATTTATTTCTGTTACAAAAGAGAAAACATTATGCCATTGCGATAAAACAGTTATAGTATATGAAACTCATTAGTTACAAGGATATAACTATGGCTGGGCAACATCTCGGGATGTTTCTGGAAAAAAATTGTCTCGGCCTAACAGCCTCGCCATTTTTAGCAGAAACATCCCTTGATGTCGTCCAAGCCAGTGTGATTTCCTCGTAACTAACTCGTTTCATGTACTATAAGTATAACGTAATACATATACTTTTCAAAGTTATGCCCCTTTAAACATTGTAATATTTTAAAAAAGAAAATATAATTAATAGTGATTTCCTTTTTTCAAATATATATTCTCTCTCATTTACAGAAACAGCAGTCTATGGTGGTCAAAGAAAAGATATTTCTTGATCTTTCGCGAAGAACATGATTTTCAAATATTGTGGAAGAAACATAAACTTGACAAAAAGAAACTGGTGCAGATCTGTAAGGATGTCTGCATATTGCTAGTGATACAAAATGTGTAGTATGAAAACAGATTTTGAAGAAGAACTTTATAAATACAAAATATTCTATGCAAGAATTCAGTATACGTAAAAATACCAGAATATAATTCAAATGAAATAAAATTGTAGTCTACCGGAACTGAAGCTGTAAAACAGAGTTATTAAAATGTATCGATTAATAAATGTTCAAGAGTGCGAAATGACTACAAAGTAAAGTGCACTGAATGTGGCTTAGAATACATTATGGAGTTTACAAGGATAATTTATGCAAACAGTACAAATGAATATAACAACAATTTACATCTTTATAATTTCACATCCTTATGATTAAAGGGATTATACTAGTACAATTCATTGTAGCTGAACTTTCTTAGAATCAGTCAATGATGTTAAGAAAGAAAGCTTCAGATGGAAAACACCATCGTGGGGAAAGGTGTACTTGACATATATTATCGGTTGTACTTTGATATAGGATTAGAAAATACCAGGCATTTACCCCAGCAGGTTTTAGTAGATTTTGCTAGATCAAAATTTAGCATTAGGAGTATCATTTTCTTAGAGTTTGTAGTGTTCAATATATGTGCTGCACACTGTTTGTGCTACTTTTCTGATTATGTGCATCACTTGATATACATATGACCCAGTCATGAAACCCTCCTAAAGTGCTCAAGTTATTCATAGATATCATCTCTTATGCCAGAGGTCATGACCTCAAATCATTTCATAAACATGAGGGAAGACATTCCAACATAAGTTGTTTCCCTTTCATTATTAAACTATAAGTTGATGACATGCCATGGCCTGGGGTATTTTAGCTAAAGCGGCCCTTACATGAGACCAATCAAATTCGTATGAGCTAAATTGATAAAGGTCTACCTAATAATGCTACAGACAAAGTTTG